GCACTATGTTGGGTAGAGGCTACTGACCCGATATTATTGATGACAGGGATTCTTGATAGCGCGTCGGCTACAATAGTATCCCTACCTGGCTTATAGAGAAGTTCATAGTCGAACTCTTCCAGGTACGCTTTCCGCCGTTTTATTCTTGCATTGCCGTTCCAGCTGCTAAGAGAATGTGGTAAAGGTTGGTGGTTGGTATATATCTTTACTTTCGCTTTACCGTAGCGGTAATTTTTGAGAGCTTTTAGCGCCCAAATTTTTGCCAACATTTCCCGTTCATTGGTGGCGTAATTCTCTTCTGTTTTAGAGAGTGTTCTAGAAAGAAAACAAATGGGTCTCTTGTTCTGGGATAAAACAGCGCCAATAGCAAAGTTGGATGCATCAGTTGTCAGATGAAATTCTTTGCTGAAGTCTGAATAGTGGAGGATTACTTCGTTCGAAACCAATGCGTTTTTAACTTTGTTAAATGCTTCAATTGCCTCTTCATTCAGGTTAATAAGTTTTTTTGCCGATTGGTTTTTGGACACACGTCCATCTTCCCCTCTTAAAAGAGAGGTAAGGGGCTTTGCCAACTTAGCAAAGTCTTTTATAAATCGTCTATAATAGCTGGCGAGTCCAATGAAAGATCTTAGGTCTTTGAGAGTTTTCGGATGTGGGTATTTTCCTATTGTCTCTATCTTGTTGCGATTGGTTTCTATACCCTTGTCTGAAATAACAAATCCCATAAATTCTACTTTATTTTTGAAGAACTCGCATTTGTCCAACTGACATTTCATGTTGGCTTCTTGTAGAGTTCTGAATATTGCATTGAGGTGTCGTGCATGTGATTCATTATCCTTGTTAAAGATAATAATATCGTCGATGTAAATAAAGCATATTTTTCCGATATGCTCACGGAGTATATCGTCAAGAGCCCTCTGAAAAATTGACGGCGCATTCTTCAGTCCGAAAGGGAGTCGTGTAAACTGATATTTTCCGTTGTTAACGGAGAAAGCTGTTTTCTCTATGTCTGATTTTTTAGAGGGATTTGGTGAAATCCACTTTTCAAATCTAAGACAGAGAATACTTTGTTGTTACCTAGCTGTGCTAATACTTCGTTAATTTCGGGTATAGGATATTTGTCTGCAATTGTTTCTTTGTTTAATTTTCTGTAATCTATGACCATGCGATATTTCTTTTGCCCAGAAGAATCTAATTTTTTTGGAACAATCCACACAGGTGAATTATATGGAGATCGGGAGGGTCGGATTATTCCGTCCTCCAAAAGTTGCTTAATTTGTTTATGTACTTCGTCCTTTAACGACATTGGAAATTGGTAAAATTTTGAGTATATTGGAGAATCTGTCTTAGTTCGGATTTCTGCCCTTACGTTAGTCGTATATGTCAGTTTTTTATCGGGATTGGCAAAAAGACTGGGGTATGCTTTAACTAATTGGTTTAATTTGTTTTTTTGTTCATTTGTCATGTGGTCTGTTCGTGGTATTACTGTATAGACTGCTTCGATTTGTTTCTATTTAATGGGTATGCGAATGTTGTCTTTCAATATTAATATATTCTTGCTGCTTTGAATTACAGCATCTAATTCTTTAAGACTATCGTTGCCTAATATGGCATCAAATGTTTTTAGCGTGGGTAAGAGAAAGAATTTTACTTTAATATCTTTTCTATTAAAAAGGTTAGCGAACTTGTGGTGTGTGATTTTAATATTTCCGCCAGCTGTGACGGATTCAAAACACTTTTCATTTTGATTAGGCTTGGACACAAATTTAGGTTGGACATAATTCCTATTCGATCCCGTATCTATCAATATTTTAAGTAATTTTCCGCTCCCCATCTTGCATTCTATATAAGGAAGAGAGGAGCTATTTATCCTAAAAAATTGATGTCTGAATGTTCGTATTGGTCGTACAGTTCGTCATCTGCTTCTTCTATTTGTTGGGCGTACTCATTCAGCGTCTGTTCGCATTCGGTTTGTTGTTCGGAGTGTAGAATTGCCTGAGTGTAGTCTTCCATGGTCATGTAGTTTTCACTGTCTTTGGTCTCAGTCTGTTCTTCTATTGTTTGTATGTTAAAGTTCCTTTGTCTTTTGTCAGGAGCGTTCGCTAGTGGTGGAGGTCTTTTTCCTACTTCGAAATTGGGTCTATTCATGTAATTGACCATCCTTGTGCGGATGCTCGTGTCAACGTCCATTGGTTCAGGACGTGGTTGGGGTTTTGGTGCCGAAGGGCGAGGAGGTACTTGCGTTTGTTGTGGTTGTGTCTGGTAAGTTTGTTGGTTGGGGTAGTGTGTAATCGGTCCCGTATTGTTGTATGTATTCGGTCGGTAGTTTGTAGTGTTCGGCCAAGGTGTTCGAACTGGTAATTGATGTCTGAAACCTATGGGTGGTGTTTGGTTAAAGCCTGCTGTACTTGAGGGTTGAGCCCTTCCAGGTGGCAATACTGGTGGTGGTATGTGCCTATTGGAATTTCTGAAGTTTGTCTGTTGGTTCTTGTTCCACGCTATGTTAGTCCGATAGTTTTGGTTTTCTAACTTCAGGCAGTAATGAAGAGCCGACGGAAGATCTACTGATTCCTTAATTCCTAGGATCCGTGGTAAATCTCCTCTCAATCCTCTAACGAATGTATCTAGTGCCTTGTCACGGTAAATTTTGGTCATAAGAGTTTCAGATTCCCTGTTTAGTTCCATACAGCTTACTTTGTTTAGTATCAAGGACAAGCGGTTATAAACAACCTGATAAAATTCTTCTACTGATTGGTTGCTACTTTGTACCAACATTGTCAACTGATATTCCAATGTTCCTAGGTCCCTTTTATCTGCGTAGTGCAGTGTAAGATGCACTTGGAGATGGCACTCCAATTTAAAGGAACATTGTACGACTCGAGTGCCGTATCTGCATTACCTGTGACTTTGTTTCTCACGGTATGCAATATGCCAAAGTATTTTGGCGAACCAGCCTCGGCTGCGTAGACTGACAGAATACGATCTACAATCTTCTTCCATGAACTCAACTCTGCCGGGTCACCGGAAAATTCTCGGAGGCTTTTAACGATGTCGGGTACCCGGTCCAAATCGTTCAAATTCTGATTGACAGCTATTCCCTGTTCTTCTACATCATTAAATTCCCTGGAAGGGTTAACCAACTGCCTCACTAATGCTGGCAATTGTTGTGCTAAAATTTGGCTAACCGTGGCTGCTATCACCTGTTCCGCGTTATTTGGCATGCCTCTATTCTGCAAATGTTGTCTTTGTTGTTGTCTGTTTATGATGTGCCCGCCTACCTGTGGTTGATCTGCTATTATTGGGGGCCTAATCAAATTTTCTTCGTTTGCCACAAATTTCACTCAAACCAAATGATATTAGAAAGCAATTTTCAAATAAGTTTTATAGATATGAGAGATGTTAGAATATAATTTTTGATATGTTTTATGAATGTGAGAAATATTAAAATATAATTTTTAAATATGTTTTTATATGTGGGAAATATTCAAATATGTTTTATATATGTAGGAAATAATATGGTTTTGAAATATGTGGGAAATATTCAAATATAATTTTCGAATTTCTTATTATTTATTTATATATTATTTGATATAACTTGTTTTGGTCTATATATATATATATTATATTATATTATATATATATATATATATATATATATATATATATATATATATATATTTATTTATTTATTTACTTTTATTGAATTATATTCTGCTCAAGCGCTGCCCAAGCGCTGCCCGCGGCTGTTTGGTGCTTTGGTTGACTGCGAACATGCTTACACAGACACGAATAGATGCGCATAGGCATGCATACAGTCACACAGACGCAATTGCTATGTATATACAATTACTTATATTCTACCTCTGTTATTATTTTGACCGTTTAATTTGAAATGTGGACGCTATTGACGAAATTCTGTAGCGGGGGAGGGAGGGGAAAATTAAAAAAAATAAAATAAACTCGTCCTTTCTCGGACCTAGGAGAATCTGGATGCCAACTTTTGTTATTCTACCTTTTATAGTTTCTGAGATCCTTGCGTTCATCCAGACGGACAGACGGACGGACATGTCTAGATCGATTTCTCTCGTCATGCTGAGTCAGAATATATATACTTTATGGGGTCGGAGATGCTTCCTTCTGCATGTTACATACTTTTCACAAACCTAATATACCCTTTTTACCCTACGGGTACAGGGTATAATAAGAAGCGACTTTATAAGAAAATATATAGAGCCTTACAATCAGGAGATAATAGAGCAGCCCGTTTGCAGCACATGCGGCAACATAGTGCTGAGTAGCGAGCCTCACAGTCAGCAGAAGATAGAGCAACCCGTTTGTAGCATAGCGGCAACATAGTGCTGAGTATCGAGCCTCACAGTCAGCAGAAGATAGAGCAGCCCATTTGCAGCACATGCGGCAGCTTAATATTGATTCTAGAGAATTAGATAGAGCGAGTAAAGCGGCTTTTATACGTGATAAAATTTGTGAAATTGGCACTAAACGTGGACTGTAAACAGTAATATAGCACCTTATTTGCCCAATGAACTTAAGCTTAAAAATTGCTTAGTTGTTTGTAACCGTTGCAAGACTCATTTAAATTCGAAGAGAAAGACTGTACCATCTAAATCGTATTGGAATAATCTAGATCCAGGGCCTATTCCAGAAGTTATTACAGATTTGTCACAGTTTGAACCGTGATTAATTTCACGTATCATTCCATTTGTTAAAGTTATCAAGTTGAGTGGTTTGTTTGGACAATATAGTTTCCGAGGTCAGGCGGTATTGCTTGCACAAGACGTTTTTGAAGTTACTGAAAATCTTGTGCTTCATGAAGAAGATAAGAGTAGAAGAAGTGTCGTTACAGAATGAAGTTGAAGTCAATGAGGAATCAACAGAGAATACTAGTGCTTACATGAGAATTAACGACTCATCAATGTTTTACGTGTCTCATGGCATCAAGGTAATGATAATACATTTATATTGGGATTTGCAGGTGTACAATGTTGTGCTATGGTATTGGCAAACATTGTAAGAGCTTCTATTCTTCCGCCACAATGTTGGTCAACAAATATTCTTAATTTGAATATGATAGCGGGTGATCAGATCTACAGTAATATCATATTTCAAACGGAAATAAGTCTCGTGGCTTATCCTGTACAAAATGATGGATACTTGCTCGTACGGAATTTCAACGTTATTAAAGATGATCTTATTATATTCAACAAACGACTACAAATAAATTTTGATGATGAACCAAGCCTATTCGGAAGCTTAAATGACCAAGTAAATGAATCAACCTTTGGACTTACACTTCGACAAGCTTTTGTATAACTTTATATACATTTCATGTACAGAAGTATATTATGTTTGCGGGAGCTGAAAATTGTAACAGGCAGAAGGAGGCGTGGCAGACCCCACAAAGTATATATATTCTTGATCAGCGTGATAAGACGAGTCGATTTAGCACTGTCTGTCTGTCCGTCTGTCCGTCCGTATGAACACCTGGATCTCAGAGACTATAAGAGCTAGAGACACCAAATTTTGCACAAAGATGCCTTATTTGTGTATTTTATACGAGTTTGTTTTATTTTTTTGATTTTCCCCCCACTTCCCCCATATGGGGGTTTTCCCGATTTTCCATTCGTATAATCGCCTATATCTCGGAGACTATAAGACCTAGGAACACAAAATTTTAGTCCCAGATCCCTTATGTGAATACGGTATTTTTAGAACTTTTTATAAATCATAATGCAGGAGTACTGATATCATAAGGAAAATCATTCGGAGTGAAGCATTATGATAACAAATATTACTTCTCTGATTCTCATTCGTGCGGTCCAAAAGGTGAAAAAGCAAAGGACAACGGAAGAGCTTGTATTATCGAATGCGATCATTTAGACGAATTTGTGAGAATTTGCAAACGAACAACAAGTAACAAAAATGTTCAATTCACAATTGACTACGTTGATGTTGGGCCCCGGCTCCTGCGTCGCATGTCCCGCGCCATGAAACTCATTGTCGAAATGTTTCTCTGTGTGACGCAATTCGGATTCTGTGCCATATACTTTGTCTTTATCACCGAGAATCTGTATCAGGTGCTGGAGCAAAACGGCATCGATATAAGCATGAGTATGGTAATGCTCATAGCTCTATTGCCCGCGATGATACCCTCGCTGATGACCAATCTGAAGTATATATCGCCCATATCCCTGCTGGCGAATGTTGCGCTGCTGTTTGGTCTGATTGCGACGCTGTCCATTTCATTCCAGGAGGGTCCGATGCCGTCTATTTCGGAATGCCATCTCTTCACCTCAGGTGCACAGTTGTCTCTGTTCTTTGGCACGGCGCTCTTCTCATACGAGGGCATTGCTCTGATCCTGCCGTTACGCAATTATATGCGAGAGCCTGAGCAGTTCAGCAGCCGATGGGGCGTCCTCAATCTAACAATGGTCTTCATTACGGGCCTCTTCATTTTCACCGGATTCGTCAGCTATATGCGTTGGGGTGAACTCGTAGAGGGCAGCATAACGCTAAATCTGAATGTGGAGGATGTTATGTCTCAGGTGGTGAAGATTGTGGCTGCCTTGGGAGTATTCTTTGGCTATCCTATTCAGTTTTTTGTGATGATAAAAATCCTGTGGCCGCCTGTAAAGCGTTCGTACAGCTGCGCTCAGAAATATCCCATAACATTGCAGGTGATTTGGCGCTTCATTATGATTATGATGACATTCTGCGTGGCGTTGGTTTTTTCTAAGCTAAATCTGTTCATCTCTCTCATTGGGGCGCTGTGCTCTACATCGCTGGCCTTTGTCGTACCGGTTATTATTGATTTTGTGACTCGCTCTCAAGTTCCTAAGGGTCTCGGCACCTGGACGTGTTTAAAGAATTTGGTTATTTTAATTGTGGCAATTTATGGTTAGAGTTAATGCGTTATTAAAATATATAAGCAATATTAACGAAATTTTTGGAGGGAGAGTAAAAGATTATTGATGGCGCATTGAATTCCAACGTCGTGGTAGTCCCCATCTTCATATGGTAATTTGGATAGAAAATTATCCAAAGTTTGATACGGAGGAAGGAAAACATCTTCTTGATCGTAACTGTTCCTGTAAAATGCCTACAGGAGAAGAAGATCCAAAACTTCACGATCTTGTCAAAAAATGTCAAATTCATCGACATACAGAAACGTGTACGAAAAATAGTAATTCTGTAAGATGTCGATTTAATTTTCCACGGCAAGAATGCAATGGGACTCAGATAGTGTCTCATTCCTCAGATGACTCTATTCGTAATGGAGGAAGAATTTGTTTACTTAAGCGTCGAAAAGATGATGCTTGGGTAAATAATTATCATCCAGACTTATTAAGACTGTGGACGGGTAACATGGACATTCAGCCATGCGGCTCAAATGAAGCGATAGCGTATTACATTGCAAAGTACTTGTCAAAAGGAGAACCTGAAGGGGTAGATATTGGAATAGCACAAGCAATTCAACAAATACAACGTAAAGAATCAGATATTTAACGAAAGCTTTTTCGGATTTGTATGAAAATTCTTCATGAACGACAAGTATCAGCTGCTGAATGTGTGTATCGCTTATGTCATATCCCGTTACGTGATAGTTCGCGAAGTTGTGTTTTCCTTAACACTAGAAAGCCAGAACAGCGTTATCGAGTATTGAAATTTGACAGAACGGGCCACGCTACTGGGTATTGTAGTAAAATCTTCGAAAGATATGAAAAACGTCCTTTGGATCATTCTGATTATGAGTTTTATACTCTGTACATGAAATGTACAAGAGTATATTAGGTTTGCGGGAGCTGAAAAGTGTAACAGGCAGAAGGAGGCGTGGCAGACCCCACAAAGTATATATATTCTTGATCAGCATGACGAGACGAGTCGATCTAGCCCTGTCTGTCTGTCTGTCCGTCTGTCCGTCCGTATGAACACCTGGATCTCAGAGACTATAAGAGATAGAGACACCAAATTTTGCACGAAGATGCGTTATGTGTGTATTCTATACGAGTTTGTTTTATTTTTTTGATTTTCCCCCCCACTTCCCCCTTATGGGGGTTTTCCCGATTTTCCATTTGTATAATCGCATATATCTCGGAGACTATAAGACCTAGGAACACCAAATTTTAGTCCCAGATGCCTTATGTGAATACGCAGAAAATGTATATTTTGGAATTCCCCTCCCTCCCCCCTCTACCCCGCAAATCGTAACTCCCGTAATTCTTGGAATTTCGAACTAAAATTTTGGAAATACCCCCAGTTAGTTATTATGTGTCCGTATGCAAAATTTCATTATGATAGACCGATTTAACAAGAAGTTATAGCCATAAATATATTTGCTGATGCAGCGCTGCTGCAGCGCTGCTCAAGCGCTGCCCGCGGCTGTTGTTGATGTTGCTGTTTGGTTGACTGCGAAAATGCTTACACAGACACGAATTGATGCGCATAGGCATACATACACTCACACAGACGCAATTGCTATGTAAATGTGCAATTATACACCCTTTACGTGAGTTCGAATACCGAGAGAGGTAAAATCGATCAAATTTTTTTTTTTATTTTCTTAATTTTTTTTATTTTCTATAATTATTGTAAACATATGTACAGAGTATTTCAAAGTCGGGACACCCGACTTTAGCTTTTTTACTTGTTCTAATATGAGTCTTACAGAATTATTTATATAATTACTTTTGACATCTCTTTAAGACTAAAAATTAAGAAAATAAATTATAGTTTAAAAAACTAAAAAAACGCGGTTAAATGCCAAACCGAACTAAAAAGTAGAAAATAATTTTTAAGTATCCAGAGCTTGTGTTACAGAAATGGAAAATTCCAACAATCAATTATGACTAATTAATTTGGAACAAGATTAAAATAAAAATTAAATTATTAATAATATAATTCAATTATAGTAAAAAATTTATGCCAAGTTTCATTATAATGGGTCAATTCTGAAGACAGTTATAGCCATAAATAAAATCGCTGCCCATGCTCTGCCTGCGGCGCAGCCCGCAGCTGTTGTTGTTGCTGCTTTGGTTAAACTTTGTGCTGCATACATACACGCATATAAATACGCATAGACACGATGACGGAAATGTATGCTGTTAAAACTGTACATAAACATATCTTCTATGTATGTATTAATTACATTTTCTTTATTAATTTAATTAATTAATTCCATTTTTTTTAAAATTTTATTTTTAAAAAATTTTTATACCCTGTACCCGTAGGGTAAAAAGGGTATATTAGGCTTGTGCAAAGTATGTAACATGCAGAAGGAAGCATCTCCGACCCCATAAAGTATATATATATATTGGAATTTCCCCCCCTTTCCCCGCTACAGAATTTCGTCAATAGCGTCCACATTTCAAATGCTACATAAACCAAACTTTGCACACATAATTTATATATAATTGTCTACTGTTGTTCAATTATTATTAAATTCGGTCAATTCTAAGAAAAGTTATTAGCAAAACAAATTCTCGCCAGTACAACCCCCCAAACTGCAGCAACAAGTTCGCTCTTCTTCTTCCTCTTTTTGCTGCTGCTGTGGGCGCATATAACTCGATGACGGAAGTTTACCTGGGTACAGGGTATTACACTGTCGGGGTTGCTCGACTGTACCGTTCACTCTTGTTTTATTTGAAATCAGTTTTAGTAGTTACGTCCAGTTAGTGTTTATCTGTCCGTATGCCAAGTTTCATCATGATAGGTCAATTCTGAAGAAAGTTATAGCCATAAGTAAAATCGCTGCCCATGCTCTGCTTGCAGCGCTTCCCGCAGCTCTTATTGTTGTTGCTTATATATGTATACACGTATATAAACAAGCATAGACAAGTAATGTAAATGCAAAACTGTACATAAAGATGTCTTCTATGTATGTATTAAATAAGTTTTCTTAATTAATTTAATAAATTAATTAAATTATTTTTTAAATAGTTTAATATTTTTTAATATTTTTTTAAAATATTTTTTTTATAATTTTTCTTTTTTGTGGAGAGTACAGGCTATTTTACTGTCGGACTGGCTCGACTGTAGCGTTCTATCTTGTTTTTAATTTAAATAAAAAGGAAGGTATTTCTTTTCGCTAATCGTTTTGTTGGTTTCTGTAATTTATATGCATTTACATACTTGCATACGAAGTTACTGTTGCACTAATAGCCGAAAAAATAATAGAAAATGCAAGTGCACTTGCACCCGCCGATATCATTGGTCACTTCGGTCATGCGGGCATCAATGTAAATACGAAGTTCGATCATTTCTTGCACGCAGGCAAAAAGTTTCGGTCACCGCCGCTCATTCTGAGTCTTTGCAGTTGTGAGTCGAACTGACTGGTTGGCGCTGGTAGTTTCGGTCACAACCGCTCACTTCTGAGTTTTTGCAGTTTTGATTCGAACTGAGTGTTCGTTGCTTGTCACAATACCCAAATGAAATAATCATACCGAGTATGGGTAAATACTCGAGTATGACCAAACAAGTAGAGAAGCTAAATTCGGGTATCCCGACTTTGAAATACTCTGTACATATGTGTAGAATAATTATGCGTGTATGTGTGTATTTGTGTGTGTCTGTGTATGTCTCGTGTGCCTGAGAAAAGCAGTAACAACAACAACAGCTGCGGGCACTACTTGGTCTTATGTACATATATGGCTACAACTTCCTGTTAAATCGGCCTATCACAATGAAACTGTCATTTGGACTTAAAATAACCAAATGGAGGTATTTGCCAAGTTTGAGTTCGAGTCTCCGAGATATAGGCGATTATAGGAACGGAAAATCGGGAAAACCCCCATAGGGGGAAAGTGGGGGGGAAATCCAAAAAATTAAACAAAATTGCACAGCGTACACACATAAGGCATCTTTGTGCAAAATTTGGTGTCTCTAGCTCTTATTGTCTCTGAGATCCAGGTGTTCATACGGACAGAGAGACAGACTGACAGACGGACAAGCAGACATAGATCGACTCGTCTTGTCATGCTGATCAAGAATATATATAGGTTAGGTTAGGTTGCAATGGCCGGGGTGATAGCGCTCACCCTCCCACTTAGGCCTATAAGGCCCATTGTGATGCCATATAATCTTCCTTTGTCTACCCTTAGCCACCCGGTGGTCTTTTGGGAATCTAATTAGACTCACGAACTCCATGTTGGTTGCTTCAGAGAGATCGTTTAGAAAGGGTTTCCCTAGAGTAAGTAGGATACGCCTGCTTAGTGCCGGACAGTAGCAGAGGAGGTGCTCTACGCTCTCTACATCCTCTTCGTCTCTGCAGCTTCTGCAGAAGTCATTATATGGGATTCCCAGTCTCGCAGCGTGCCTGCCAATCGGGCAATGACCCGTGAGCGCCCCCACTACCAATGAGATATCCGTTCGCGTCAGTTTTACAAGCTTGTATGTCCTTCTTGCGTCAAGGACTGGCCTGGTGAGCTTTGCTCGAATACATGTGTTGGTGTTCTCCCAGCGTTACTGTGCCATAGACCGCGCGTGGTTGCTTGTCAGAAGCCGGACGGAGGCTAACAGCATGCCCGTTCCTTCCCTGTCTGAAGGGATGCATGCGGTAGTTCCCTTCCTTGCCAGCTCATCTGCAATGCAATTTCCCTCGATGTCCCGGTGCCCATGTGAGGGTTATACTGACTTGCTGGGCCATCTCATTAAGAGATTTGCGGCAGTCAGTGATGACTTGGGAGTTATCCACATTGGATTCCAACGCCTTAAGGGCCGCTTGGCTTCAGAGTATATGAATATCGGTCTGCCACCTGTCATACTGGGTGCTAGGTGCCTTTCGACCTCATGTATTGCAGCGACTTCCGCCTGGTAGACGCTGCAGTGATCTGGGAGGCGAAAGGACAAGCGTATGTCCAAGTCCGGAGAGTAGATGCCTCCACCTACTCTCTGATCTAGCTTGGAG